TCACGTGTTAAGTGCGTCACGTGCGAGTGGGTTGAAAGTGGGTCTTGACACAGGCACTTGATGCGTTTAAATAAAATATAATGCTAACTAAATACGAAATCTATTTACTACCAAATTCTTAATGTTTCTTAGGTGAAAGAGAGTATAGAAACATTAAGAATTTGGTAGTAAATAGATTTCGTATTTAGTTAGCATTATATTTTATTGAAACGCTTCAAGTGCCTGTGGGTCTTGATAACAGTGTGCATCTCATTCAGGTGCCCTGTGTAAAATACTGTAAACATCAAGATAGTGGTGGTTATAATTTACATGAAGGAAGGACTAGCACCCCTAAACGGCTTCGAAATGTAAGGTACGTGCGTAAGATGGCACTGCATGTACGTGACAAGTAAGGTACGGGACCACATGCACGCCACCTGCTAAGGATTCCGTAATGCGAAGAAACTGGTGATTGTATTACGATTAGGCTTGAAAAGCAAGGGTAGCGTATACGCTAAAACCACGGCACAGTTGTCAAAACATTTTGTTGATTGCAAAGTAGTAGCAGCAGCCCATTGCAAGTTGACGCCGCCATGTGACCCGCCTTCTCTACTGCAGCACAAACCTCTATGTAATCACTGTTCCCCTTCTACAAGCGACCACTTTACCGCATTACAGCTGAACAACAAAAGATAACGCTGTTAGACGCTGAACAGCATATGGCAGAGACCCCTGGTGGCAATATAGTTAAAAAAGAGAGGATACTCGCATGTCAGGCGGTTTTCTCCAAATGTGCTCACGCTGTGAGTAATAGCATTCAGTAAGGGCATTATCACAAGCATATCGGATTGCTTCGATATTCTATACACGTATCGATTCATGGCAATAGAACCTAATGCGCGTTTTCTTCACGACACAGCACTCTGCACACCCGTAGTTGAATTAATTGCTTGAGAGAGCAAGGCCAACATTAGCCAGGTATGATCGGGATGAAGCGAGCCGGGCTGGGATGCCAGAATCAGATCTGCAAACCAGATCATTCGGTGGAAAACGTGGCCACGGCGCTCTCACAATCTATTCAACTACGCGAACATTAAATTGGGAAAATTGCTCTTAAACGAAAAAGCACTCACCGCAATTCGCTGGCCAACAATTGTCTCACAATAGCGCCTTGACTATCGTCCCCTGCCGCTCATAGGGCCTATGTCCCCCAGGGTACTGCCGTAACGTACCCTGGGTACGGTCCGGTATACCGGAACGTACCCTGGTAACTATCTAGCTGATATGGTTAGGGTTAGGTTAGAGTTAGGGTTCGGGTTAGGGTTAGAATTAGGGTTAGGGTTAGGGTTAGGGAGTAGGCGTAGGCGACTCCCTAGACTCGTTAGTGGAGTAGGCGAGGTACGGTCCGGCATATTAGATAGTAGTATTTAGTACGAGGGTACGTTCCGGTATACCGGACCGTACCCAGGGTACGTTTCGGCAGTACCCTGGGGGACATAGACCCTATCAGCTCCAGTGCCAGCACTAGCAAATCCCAACATGGCAGCAGTTATGTAGGCCCTATCTCAGCGACGCATTGTCGGCGACGCAATGTCGGCGACGCAATGTTAGTGACGCATCACCCGGAGGGTGACTTACGATTTTTGGCTTAAACGGTGGCTGCACGTCTCGCGCCTCAATCTTTTCCCAGTCGATGCGCCGGAAAAACGGATGCTCGCGTATGTCACGCTCTCCTGTCCCGCCGCAGCCCAATCTCTTCTTGGTGTCTTTCGTCAAAAGCTGCGACAGACAGTAGCACCACAGTCATGAGGTCATGTAAAGTCAGAAGGTATGCCAGCAACACCAAACACAGAAGGTCACACCTGAGTCATCGTGCATGACCGGGTGACGCGCTACGAACGCCACGTAAGTAGACACAGTCGTTACAAACTATTCATGTTTTCGCATTCGCTCGGCCGACGCGCCGGGAAGCGGATTTCAGTCTCATGTCATCCGTGATTAGCTCATGTTTGTGTGGGTTAAACAACGGACAGCGAACAGATCGAGATCTGACACGGCTCTCACTATTACGTCTTTGTAACGTATCGGACGTGGTGATCAATGGACTGAGCCGTGCTTACGTTGGTTCATGGATTGGATCAAGTTAACGTGACTGGCATCGGAATCAGGGGCACATGGTCAGCAGCATCATAAGAAACTATGACGTCGTAAGTTTAGAATCTCGTAACTTTTGAAGTGGAACCTTTTGAAAATTACCTTATAGACAATTAACATTTTAGGCGTATCTATTTATTTTGTTCAGTCACGTCTATTAATGCTGGGTTCACACTGGCGATTTTTTTGTCGTAAAATCGAGAAATTGACGAGTTTTTCAGCGATTTTTCAAATTCCCAACTCAAAATCGCTAGTGTGAACAGAAAAGTTAATGTTGAAAAGTTGAAAAATTGAAAAATTAATGTGTCTGGCAAAATTGAACGTGTTCTATCTTGCTCGATTTTGCCCGACACTTTATCATGAAATCATAGAAGCGCTGTGCGCTGATTGGCCAGTTCCTACGTGTAACAATAGTTATGGCATGGTTAATAATATGGCATCAAATTAAGCCTTATTGATCCGGAAAAAAATTATGTAGCTCCTTTCGTCCTCGTTCATAATTTCTGGGAGTAAATGACTGAATGTCCCCGCATTCATACGCCTGGCTATCCACGGCCTTGTCCAAGCTGTCCTCTTTTTTCCTTCCTTCCCGCTTTTTCTTTTTAATAATACAAGCTATGACTATAAGGGATAATGTCTCTTCTTCATCCATACTGCGTAGAACTGTTTTAGAACTGTTACTGGTTTGTACTACAGCATCTCAGCTGACCTCTAAACTATTAATAGTCTGATTTATCACCAACTTTCATCAACTTTCAAAGACAAAAGTCTATAGAGTGAACAGATGTTACTGAAAGATTTCTTGATAAGAAATTGAAAAATCTTTACAGAAGATGTTGAAAGATTTTACTTCAAAGATTTTCAAAGACAAAAAATCGCCAGTGTGAACCTAGCTTTATGATGTTTCAGACAATATGCCTCAGGTGTCGAAATACGTGTATATGCTTTGTTACACAGTTGTGTTACTACATCCACGGCAGATGGCGTAACCTGATTGCGTGTGGCATTTAGATATCTGTGAATGTGGTATTACGTTTACGAATGTATGCGCACGGACATGAGCATGTATGAAAGACAGTTGCGCGGGGTTGTCTATATTCAGGCCGGTACAGAAGATAATTTGCATATTTTGTCACATGGTTTGTGTTAACCAATCAGATGTAATCGCGTATTCGCGACGTCACTTCCAGCTGTATCGCAAAGCGATCTCACGTGCAGAAGTGTGAAGCATGGTGAGGTGGTGGAGAAGGAGGAGGAGAGAAGCTGGTGGAGAAGGAAGGAGGGGGAGAAGCTGGTGGAGAATGAGGAAGGGGAGAAGGGAGAAGGTGGTGGAGAAGGAGCAGGGGAGAAGCTGCGGGAGAAGGAGGAGGGGGAGAAGCTGGTGGAGAATGAGGAAGGGGAGAAGGGAGAAGCTGGTGGAGGAGGTGGGGGGAGAAGCTGGTGGAGAAGGAGGGAGGGGAGAAGGGAGAAGGTGGTAGAGAAGGAGGAAGGGAGAAGCTGGTGGAGAAGGAGGAAGGGGAGAAGGGAGAAGATGGTGAGAAGGAGGAAGGGAGAAGCTGGTGGAGAAGGAGGAAGGGGAGAAGGGAGAAGATGGTGGAAAAGGAGGAGGGGAGAAGCTGGTGGAGAAGGAAGAGGGGAGAAGGGAGAAAGTGGTGGAGAAGAAAGAGGGGGAGAAGCTGGTGGAGAAGGAGGAGGGGGAGAAGGGAGAAGGTGGTGGAGAAGGAGAGGAGAAGCTGGTGGAGAAGGAGGAGGGAGAGAAGGGAGAAGGTGGTGGAGGAGGGGGAGAAGCTGGTGGAGAAGGAGGAGGGATGAAGCTGGTGGAGAAGGAGGAAGGAGAGAAGGAGGGGGAGAAGGGAGCTGGTGGAGGAAGAGGAGAAAGGAGAAGCTGGTGGAGAAGGAGGAGGGGGAGAAGGGAGAAGGTGGTGGAGGAGGGGGAGAAGCTGGTGGAGAAGGAGGAGGGATGAAGCTGGTGGAGAAGGAGGAAAGGGAGAAGGAGGGGGAGAAGGGAGCTGGTGGAGGAGGGGGAGAAGGGAGAAGCTGGTGGAGAAGGAGGAGGGGGAGAAGGGAGAAGGTGGTGGAGGAGGGGGAGAAGCTGGTGGAGAAGGAGGAGGGGAGAAGCTGGTGGAGAAGGAGGAAAGGGAGAAGGAGGGGGAGAAGGGAGCTGGTGGAGGAGGGGGAGAAGGGAGAAGCTGGTGGAGAAGGAGGAGGGGGAGAAGGGAGAAGGTGGT